GGCGACGCCGTCCTCATCTCGGAGGCCCACGGCTGCGCCGGCCAACATAAAGCATGGGAGGCTCCGCGAGGCTGTTCTTCCTGGTGGTCGGCGGGCCCATCCGCGGCCCATGCCGGAATCGGCGTCGTCGTCAAAAACTCGTTCTTGGAGCACTTCGAGGAGATCTCCTGGCAGGTCCTGTGGCCTGGACGCGCTGGGCGGCTTCGACTGCGGGGGCGGGAGGGGGCCCTCGATCTCATCGCGTGCTACTTCCACTCGGGCGCGACGGTGGCGGAGGCGGACCTTTACGGTGTCCCCGACGCGCAGCGCACGAGCTTTTCCTCTTTCCCAGCCCTCCGGGCGCTGCTTCGGGACCGGCTGGCCCGCCACATGGCCATTTCTAGCCAGGTGTTGAGCGTTCTCGGCGGCGACTTCAACTGGGTCACGGACGTTGCGGACAGGCGCGCATGCAGCGGGGCCGCGGCCAGTGGCAGTAGGGACGCGCGGGGGGAGAGACACTTTCAGGCGGTGCTGGGAAGAACATTCGGGCTGCAGGAGATGCACCAGGCGGAGATGACATTTGCGTCCACGCGCTCGCGTTCTCGGCTAGACCGCGTTTACTGCAATCAGCACGTGGCCGAGCAGCTGGGCCGTGATATCCGGGCTATTGCGTTGGAGTGGAAGCCTCAGGTGTCCGACCACAGAGCGGTGCTATTCTCGCGCCGCTTGCCGCAACGGCTCCCGGCGGATGCCCGTCCTCTCGCCGACGCGCAGGTGCGGCACCCCGACTTTGCGCGCCAGGTCCGGCTGGACTACTACCAGAAGCTCGCGGAGTGCCCCGACGCCTCCAGCCTGCGGCGCCTACAGTTGCTGAAGGACTCCATGAGGTTCGTGGCCACTCACTGCATTCTTCCCGCTGGGCGCATGCCGGAAGCGGTTGCCCTCGAGGACCGCCTGGGAGTGACCATGAGGTTCTTGAGAGCGGCGGAGGCCGGGGCGATGGGTTGCATTTCCCAGTGTCTGGAGCGCTACCCGCATTTCCACTCGCTACTGCCGAACCCTTACGACGTCAAGTACCACACGACGCGCGGCCTACAGCCTGTGAGGGACCTGGCGGTAGAGTTGGCCAGGGGGCATAGTCTGGACGAGCTGGGCCGCGCCCATCGGGAGCTACAGGCGGGGGACAGCGCGCTCTCCGCTCGCCGGGAGCAGCGCGCGCAACGCCTGCTCTCACGTCTTCTTCCTGGGCAGCCGGCAAGCGTTCGCGCTGTCCGGGCTGCCACTGGGGATCATCTCGCTGAGCCCGCGGACATGGCGCAGGAGCTGGGTCAGCACAGGGGGAAACGTCTTCAAGGCGAAGGGCGTCAACGGCGACTTGCTGCGGAAGTGGCTCACGGAGGACGCCGAGCACCGCGAGACGCATGGTCCCACGCATGCTGGCTTGGCAGACCTGCGTCTCACAAGGGGCCACGTGCGGCGCGCCATCCGGTGCTCGAACAGCTCCGCGCCAGGCCCAGATGGCATTCCATGCGTCGCCTGGCGCGCCCTGGAAGATCTCGCGGTGGACGCCCTCTTCGACGCAGCGACCGCGCTCTGCTCCCCGGATGCCCAGGCCCTGCAGGAGGCAGATTCTCCCGACCTCAACGCTAGCCTCCTGATCTTCTTGCCCAAGAAGGCTGGGGGCACCACGGAAGAGGGGGGGCCTCTATTCGATCCTGGAGGGGTGCGGCCGTTGTCCATTACCAACACGGACAATCGCCTCATGGCCAGCGCCGTCAGATTCTTGGTGGAGCCGGCGCTGGAGCCGCTTATTGCTAGCTCGCAACGCGGCTTCCTACAGGGACGCTCCATGCTCAGCAACATCATCGACATCGAGGAGAGCATGATCACGACGGGTATCGAGTCGGAGGGGGGGCTTGCCTTTTTCTTCGACTTTGCGGCGGCTTTCCCCTCCGTGGAGCACCAGGTCTTGCTGGGCTTCTTCCGCAGCCTGGGTTGGCCGGATTGGCTCCTCTCCTTCATCCTGAGCCTCTACCGGGAGAACACGTGCGAGGTCTGCATCGGCGGCGCCCGCTTCCCCGGCTTCCCCCTGACGCGTGGGATCCGGCAGGGGTGCCCCCTCTCCCCGCTGCTCTTCGCGGCGTGCTCGGACCTCCTCTTGCGCAAGCTGGCAAGGGACTTCCCGCGCTCCGTCCAGAGAGCGTTTGCGGACGACCTTGCAATGGTGCTGGCGCGGGCTGGGCCAGAGTTGGGAAGGTTGCAGCTCGTCTTCGACGAGTTCGCGCTCCTGTCGGGGCTCGCTTTGAACGTGTCCAAGACGGTGGTCGTCCCAACAGACCCGCTCGACCAGCAGCGGGTGCGCGCCCTCTTGTCTTCTGCGGCCCCTGGCTGGGCCAATATGCTCATTGCTGACGCGGCCAAGTACCTGGCGATTTATTTAGGGCCGGGCAAGGGGACAAGGTCATGGGACGAGCCCCGCGTCAAGTTCCTTGCGCGTGCTGCCCAGTGGGGCCGAGCCGGCGCTGGCTTGCTGCTGACGGTGCAGGCGTACAAGGCCTACGTCGCGTCCGTCTTGTTGTTCGTGGGCCAGCTGGAGCCCCCGCCCGACGACATCCAGGAGTGCGAGATTCGCGCCTGCCGGAAGCTATTCCCAGGGCCGTTGGATTGGGCACCCGTGGACGTGCTCGAAGACATGAAGGGCCTCGGGTTCCCGGTCGAGCTCCCCGACCTGTCCTTGACGATGGTTGCGGCGAAGGCCAGGGTCAGCAGTTGGGAGGCGGGCGGCAACTTGCAGATCAGGGAGCGGAGTGCCAATCTGCTTGCCTCCTATGCGAGCCTTTCGGGTGCAGCCTCTCTTGCGCGAGCTGGCTGGCTGCGCCAGTGGGTCACGTCGCCCATCCTTTCGGCCCTTGCAGCTGCCGCGTCCGAGGTGCGAGCAGTGCGAGACAGAACGGCGACGCGCCCTCGCTGGCGACGGAGGGAGGGACTGCAGAAGCATGCTGTGGCCCAGCTCCGTCTTGCACGATGCGGCGCGGCCAGTGCAATAGCACTCCCCGCACTGGCTCGCCGCCTAGCGCGCTGGCCCATACAGATGTTTCCTCGCCGGCGTCCGACCGCCGCTCTTCAGGTGCTGCGGATCGTGGGGGAGAAGTGCCAGCCGCGCGTGTGGGCCGCCGTTCTGCGCCTCTGGTGCCACGGGTGGTGTACGAGCACACGCTTTGGCGGCAATGGCCCTTGCCAGTTTGGATGCCGCGCAGGTCAAGATAGCGTTCGCCACCTGGCATTCTGCCCAGTCGTGCGCGCCCTTCCTGGCGCCTCATCCCCCCCAGCCGCACTCGCCCGCAATTGTTTCTTGAATTTGGGCGCTCAGGGGGCCCAGCTGCCATTGTACAGTGGGCTCTCCATGTCTACAGCCTTTACCGGGTGCACAATGCACGTCGGCATGGGCACTTGGATGTCGCAGACATCGCAGGAGCTTACCGTGAGTATGTGCGCGAAGGGGCCCGGGGCAGAGAGCAACTATCGGAAGAAATTGTGGTTGCTCATGCTCGCTAGCTTCCTCTCTCCCTCTGCTCTTTGCTTCTCCGTCCTCCTCCTCATCTGCATTCCCGGCGCTGCGGGGGGGGGAAACGTTACGAATTTCCCCCCCCTGGATTGTGCTCGCGGTGTAGTTGTTTCAGAGTGTCGCCCCAGAGTTTCGGCCACGTTCGCAGTTCTTCTATCCCCCCTCTTTGCGTCTCCTTCCCTCTGCATGCTCGGATTTCCAAGTAGTTCGCTGTTGTTCATTTCGTGTTTCATTTCGGTGCGACATTTTCGTGAGGATCTCCCCTCACTGAGCGCCAGCCCTCGCGGGCTCGGCCCGGGTGATTGTTGTCACTCCCTCCTCCTCCTGCTCCTCCACCTCCTCTTGCTCTGCACGGGTACTGTAGCATGGTGCTTCTGGCTCCAGGTGTGGTTGCATTGATTCGTTTGATGTAGGCTTTATGTTGGTCGGCTGGGTAGGCCCTGGGTTGCATGAGCCCTCACTGGACGTCGAAGGCCGTGGGCGTATGCATTGCGGTATGTCGTGTATTTCTCTTCTCCCCTCGCTCTCCTCCCCCTCCTCCTCCTCCTCCTCCTCCTCTTCCTCCACCTCCTCCTTCCGCATTTGCGGGCCGTGATTCGTGACATTTTCGTTGCGTGTTACCGCGGTTGCGGACCGCGCTTGCGGGCCGCAGTTTCGATTTTGGGTGTACCGGCCTATCCTCGATTTTAGGCCCGTCCCCGACGAAGGTTGTCACAGTTAGCTTTTTTTGTTTGCGTAGGTTTGTCCAGAGTGAACGTCGATGGGGCGGAAACTCGGGCAGTTATCCCGGCGCTTGGAGTCAAAACTGTGTACAGCTTTCGTTGCGTTGCTGAATTGGGGAAAAAAAGAGTAATACACATACTGAGTAATTGTGGAGATGAGAAGGGGGAGATAGGGAGGGCGGGGCCAAGTCATCCCGCGTCGTGATCATTTTTGCGCCATCGCGGGTCGATCACTGACATGATATATCGGCGACGTATCGCCGATCTCAGGTCGATTCGGCGGCGCGCCGAGGGGGGAGTGAGACGGAGAAAGCATTCTCAGAAGGCGGCGGTACTTCTCAGAAACCCCCTGGCTTTCTGAGAAGTGTGCTGTGTCTTCGGGGAAGGCTCAGAAAACTTTTCAGAAGGCCTGAGGCCTTCCGAGCCTTCTTGGAAGGCCCGCCCCTTCTCATTTCCTCCCTCCAGGCTCGCCGCCGATCGATGTCCCCTCCCCCCCTGAGCCAGTCCACCCTACTATCGTTAACTCTCAGCCCTCCGAGTTCTGGCCATGACTCTCGCTTCTGGCGGCGTTCTGGACGACTCGGGCACACCCGAAACGCCCTCGACGAGGCAACGGGGCGCAGCTGCTCAGACGCACCCCGCAGCTACAGCAGCTCCCAGAGCCGACGAGGACGCCCGAGATTTTCGGCCCTCGGGAGCGTCGCCGTCGTCGCTGGGGGGCAGCCCGTCCGCAGGCCGCGGCCGCCGCGCAGGCGGGCCTGCTGCCCGCGGGCCACCCAGCGTGGCCCGGCCTGCGGGCCAGCGCCAGGCGGCGGGCGGCGGCGGTCGCGCTGCTGGACTCGGGCGGGCCGCTGCACGGCGGGGTGCCCGCCGTGCGGCCGCCCAGGACGGGGCGATGATGCGTCGCCGTCGGCGTCGTCGTGTGGTCGTCGTCGCTGGAGTCGTCGGAGTTGGAGTCGGCGGAGGAGGAGGAGGAGGAGGAGGAGGAGGAGGGGGGGCTCGTCGACGTCGGAGTAGATGAAGCATCTTGGAGGTATGTGGCCCCCACTTGGAGACACTTGGAATCCGTACAGAGCAATGCAGACAGGTGGACGGACAGACAGAGAGAGACAGACAGACAGACAGACAGACAGACAGACAGACAGACAGACAGACAGACAGACAGACAGACAGACAGACAGACAGACAGACAGACAGAACGAGAGGCAGGCATGCATCAACACCCAATCGCCCACTCATCGCCGATAGTGTCCCGATCACCCACCCCGCCCAGAAACACTTGGATTCCGCATCGGGGGCCTATCGCTGATCAATCGGCGATGTATCGCCGATTCTGGGTAGATTCTTCCCCCACCAGAGCCCTGAGCCAGTCCGCCCCCAACCCCTTGTCTGAGGGGCCTCTCTCGAGACCCCAGGGCCGTCAACAACGGATTTGGGACGAAAAACTGCCCCAGGGAAACGGCCCGGGACCTCTGTGGCCCCAGACTGAAATAAGAAGGAACATTGTTTTTTTGGGGGGCGCACAGTGCAAGCCACTTCTGTGTTGAAATGCAGCGGTCGAATCATTCTGCACTCCTTTTCTGGCCTTCTAGAGTGTCGACCTGAGCGTTTGATTGCGCCGCTGAGTCGGATCCCTGCGGATTTGTTCCAGGGTGCGAGACAAGCATTGCGCCCTCCTGTGATTACGGATCATCTGGGGAGCGGAGTGTGTAATTCGAGGAACGAATAATTGCATATGCATATGGTTCCGAAGGTCTGCGCGGACCTTCGAATGTGTACGCGTAATTATGTTGATCTGAACCTTCAAGGTAATGCAATGTTGGAGTGGCAATGAATCAAATCATGCCGCTGAGCCCGCAAGGGCGCAGAGATTAGCCGCGGCCTTCGAGAAGGTTGCCGAGGCCAAAGTGGGCGACGCGGGCGCCTTAGGCAGCCTCGAACTGGGACTGGGACAAGCTTAGAACTTGGAGGTATCAATTTCCACAGAGAGATCGATTTGCATGCTTATCGAATGGTGAGATATGCCTGCACGGCTGCACACTCGTGTGAAAAGAGGAGGCTGACGTAATCGGCGCGCTTCGCATAATCGTTGCTTGCTTGCTTGCGTGCTTGCCTGCTCCTTGTCCACTTTAAATTGATCTCGCGATGACGCTTTGAGTGTCCCGATGTGTTGCCGATGTGTTTCAGAAACGATGAATCACCATTCAGCATCGTGTTCTATTCGATTGTCAGTTTAGGGTCGCGTCGGGGATGTTGTCCAGACAAAGTTATCAGATGGTGAATCGATTCAGCATTTGACAACCAGTGTTAATCGAATGCGTACACTCCGGGTGTAGTTACCCAGCATCCCATCTTGGAGTTGGTGTCACGCCCCCCTTTCGGGTGGCCACTCTTCGAGGCCACTTGGGTGCGTAGCAGGATCCTCCACTTCATCATCCTTCCTGTTTCTGCTATCCCTTATGCCATCGTTTCGTTCCAATTGTTTGCTACATGAGTCCCAGAGTTGGGACATGGAAACAGCCAGAGTTACCTTGCTTGCATCTGCTGGCCACAGAGCCGGCGTCCATCGAGTAGACGAGGTTCGGGATCTCGACACAGGAGGAGGCAGCCAACATGCGCACATGTATCCGAGGCTGCATTGGCGCTTCGTTCCATGTGCTCAAGCCCTTCTGGCTCAGGCTTTTCTGTGCCAGTCTTACCTTGTGCTGTTACCATCAGTGTGCTGGCTTGAGAGCCTCCTCGGAGGTTAAAGCAAGGTATCAAGATTCCTTTGCTGTTGCAGCCATGGCGCCTGCTCCCAGTGCTGTTGCTCCTTAGACTCGTTCAGGGACCACGGCTGGGGGCGAAGAAGGCTCTGCCTGGGCCTCTCGTTCGGCCAATGGCAAGTTGTGGACCTGCGGCAGCTGTGGATGCAGGCGCAACAAGGTGTCATGGTGGTTCTGCAAGCATTGCAAAGTTGCCCGGCACTCTTCCTTTGACTCTGGCAAGTACACCACGTCGTGGGGTGGCCACTGGTATGCGGGCGGCGACCACGACTGGCCCGCCCTTCCCCTGCGTGCAGGCCCTCAGTTCGCCCAGTACTACGGCGGAACGGGTGCTGCTGGAGGTACTGGCAATGGCAGTGTGTGGTCATCCCCCCATGTGGACCACGCGGACACATCCATTCATGAGTTGGAGAAGTTGGTGGATCTATTGTCTAAATGTGGAGACAAAACGGGTGCGCGTCGGCATCAGCTCGCACTTGATCATAAGAAGCGCGTTGCCTCAGCCCCCGCTGTGCCGTTGCAGGCCAAGGTCAACAAGGCTTTCCACGAGCTGCGCCAGCTGCGGGAGAGGACGGACAAGGCGTGCAACGTTTATGAGAAGATGGAGGAGGAACTGTCGTTGCAGCGAGGCCGCATCAAGACGCTCTCGGAGGAGCTCAAGCTGGCGGAGGAGGCTCACCCCAGGCTCGTGCAGCAGCTGCACGAGGAGGTGGCTCCGCCACCTGTGTCGGCCCCTCCGCCAGCGGCGAGCCTTGATATTGCGGCCACCATCCAGGGCAAGGCTGAAGAGATTCCTATCTCGATTGACTCACTGCTGGCCTCCCAGGACGATTTCGAGATCGCAGGGAAGGATCTGGAGGAGGCCAACCGCCGCGCCCAGGAGCTCAATCAGTCGTTGCAAGATGCACTTCGCAAGTTGTTCGGAGATGCACTGGAGAGGACCTGGGCTTTCCAGGCCGATCAGAAGAAGATGCTGGAGCGTCTCTCGTCCAAGAGGCGGCGCCAGGACGGAGACGGCGAGGGCGCAGCTGCAGGCGCTGTCGGAGGTGCGCCAGCTGCGGGTACCGAAGGTGCCTCAGCAGGCCCAGGAGCGGCTGCCTCAGCTTCATCGTCAGACGGTCCTGGTGAGAGCGCAGCTGCAGCTGTGTCACCAGGCCGCGAAGATGTCCGCGCCCGTGCTGGGCGTCTTCTGTCACAGCCCCCCCCCCCCCCGCCGCCGAGGGGCAGCGGGGGGCCCAGTTGCCGCATGATTCTTCCAAGTCTAACATTACTCTCTCGGCCTGTCGGCCTCGCCTCCGTCGTTCCCTCCGCTCGCATAGTGGCGTTCGCACCTGTGGCTGTAAAGGCCGGAAGGCTGCTGTGTGCCATGCGCTGTGGAGGTCTCGTCGGATTTTGTCAGGTGGTAGCCAAAGGTTCGACGCTCTGCAGGCGACTCTATCTAAGCCTGCCAATTATGCGAGGCCTGGTCCAGCTTACCCTGTGTTGGCTGCCCCAGGCTCTCAGTTCCCGATCGAGGTGGTGCCTGGTCCCAGGATCTCCCAGACTCCCCTTCCTAGTTCCTCCCTTCCCCCTCCTGGGCCCCTGGAGTCGGATGGGCTGTGCTCTGTAGTCCTGTCTGTTCGTGCCCTCACCTGCAACAGTTGGGGCACCCTGAAGAGAATGCTTCCTCGCGCGCCTTCAACGATCCTGCTGGTTCAGGAACATAGACTGGCCGCTCAGGAAGACATCGATGTTGCTTCCTCGTGGTGTGCTCGCAACGGTTGGAAATCGCCGTGGACCCCTGCCGTGCTCACTAAAGAAGGGAACCTCAGGAGGCACCGCCATTTTAGCTTAGGGCTGGCTTGGTCTTCCCCCCCCCCCCCCCCTCCTCTGGTCACGCTATTGTTCCCGGGCGAGCTACTCATGGGGTCATTCAAGTCCCTGGGAGTTTCAGTTGCCGCATGTTTTCGGTCTACTTACATGTCGCTGAAGGTCTGTCCGAGCGAGCCATGGAGTTGTTAAGTCGAGTTGGGGCATGTGCCTCCGTCTGCTGCTCTAGCTTTACCGTTGGTGGAGATTTCAATGTCTCCCCTGGAGAGCTTGTCAGCAGTGAGTTTATCGGCCAGCTCCAGGGCCTGCTCATCGACCCTGAGGGCCACGCGCATTTCGGTTCAGGATCCCCTCGGCTCTGAATTATTTTGTCTGCTGCGGTGGGCTGGGAAAAAGCGGTTGAGTCGTGCAGGGTCGATCTGGAGACAGAGCTCAGTCCCCATCGGCCCGTGGACCTCTTTTTCCACAGATCCCCCGCTGTTCTCAAGGCTCTCAGCCTCAGGGCGCCCCCCCCCCCCGCTGCCGCGGGGTCGAGTCATAGGGCCGACGCTGCCTCCGCCACGCCGGGCCCAAGTCATTTCGCGCGCTCGGGCTGCCCTCGATGCGGTCGCCGCTGGCGGCGCTGTTTCTGCCCTCGGCCATCTTTCCCCTGCCTACGGAGCGCGGGCAGATAAGGCGGAGGAGGAGTTGGTCCATGTGCTGGGTGCCGACCTGGTCAAGATGGGAAGCAGGAGTAGGGGCCCCCAGTTAGTATGGAGGAGCTTAGTTGGGCGGGACATGCAACCTAGGTATCCCGGGCATCTCGCCACCCAGTGGCTGGCGGTTCAGTTTAGAGCGCTCTTGGGGCTGCAGCGGGCCAACCAAGGTCGCGGAGACCAGGCCGCCAGCTCGCGTGCTTTGCTCGTCAGCCCCCCTTCCTCCATTGCCAGCTATTCGGGCAAGTCTGTTTCTTCATTTTGTCGCGTCAGAGAATATTTGCTCACGCTGAAAGGAGATTCCCGCCAGGCCTCTCTCGACAAAATCATTTGTGGTGAAGAGCTTTTCGCCACCCTGGTCGTGGTCCTCGAGGGGGCCAATGGGGAGTTCAGGTCTCGCGCCCAGGCGTCTTGGGGAGCTTGGCTTACCGAGGGCATAGATCAAGGAGCTCGCAGGGCCCGCGCCGTTGCCCGAGACCCCTCCGCTTGGGCCCCTACCACGACTCTTGCTCGAGACGGATCGGTCGTTGCCGACCCCCTCTCGCTCCTTGCCAGCGAAGTTCCAAGTTTGCCAGTTTTCGGAAGGAAGGTTTGGGCAACCCCTCCTGCTGGGCGTTAGTTGAAGCGCTTCCCCGCGCTGGCCCTGCCCAGCTTAGGTCAGTCTGCAAGGAGTACAAGAGAACTTCGGCGGTCACCCACGACGGTTTCGACTGTCGTCATTTCCACTTCTTGTGTGACGATGGATTGATAGCGCTTGGCATGCTATTTCAGCTGATGGAGTCGGTTGGCCAGCTTCCCCGCCAGATCTCTGTCGTGCTGCTCGCTTTGCTCTCGAAACCCAACGGTGGTTACAGGCCGATAGGGGTGTTCTGCTCCTGGTATAGGGTATGGGGGCGACTTCGGCGCCCCCAGGCCCTATACTGGGAACAGCAACACCCCCGTCGGTACTGGGCTGCTGGGGCGTTTCGTGGAGGTGCGGATGCGGTGTGGCGTTGGGCGCTCCGTGCTGAAACGGGCACCTCCAAGGGTGAAGAGAGTGCTAGCGTGTTTTATTACATGTTCAACTAATACGAAACGATTGATCTGGATGTTCTTGAGCAGCGTTGTCATCTGCACCAGTTTCCTTTAGTGCTGACCCGTCTCTCGCTCTATGCGTACAGGTGCGGACGTTTCGTTTCTCTTGCCGGTCTGCTCGATGGGCCTTTTTTTGTTCAGAAAGGGGTGATTGCGGGATGCAGCATGGCCACTGCGCTCATTCGCATATACAGTATGTCCTCCCTGGGTAAGTTCCCCTCTTACCCCTCCCAGGAATTTGACATTTACATTGATGGCGCGGGCATTTCTTGCACTGGCACCCGCAATCATGTTGTCTCCTCCATTGTTGCTGTATCCTCGGCCCTCCATCATGCTATAACTGATGAGGGAGAGATGAACTGTCAACTCGCATTACACAAGGTTTGCACCGCTGCTTCGTCCAAGGGTCTTGCCAGAGCTTTGTCGGATGCCCTAGGCCAACAAGGAGGGGAGATCGCTGCCTCGACGGTCAACCTCGGCGTTGACTTTTGTGCTGGAGCTTCAGTCAGAGCTTCGGGGCGCTGTTCTAAGCTCAAGAGCAGGTTGGCTCTTCCTTGCAGGAAGGCTAGGCGC